GTGCCCCGAATTTGGTCGACTGATTGAGTCTTCGTGCGGCCATACCGTCGAAGGCGTCCAATAGGGCTGACGTCACGTAGAAGACTGTGGCCATCAGGTAGTGGTCCGGCATTAAGTAGAAGGATATTAACGCCAATGCTATTCGCGCGAATCCTATGATATTCGGAACAAAGAGGAAGATATTCTCAGCCATTCTTCGCCTCTTATGTCATATGTTTTGCAATCAATTCATCCAATCATTCAGTCATTCATTACGTTATTTATGACACAAATCAAGACATCATTTGTGTTTGGATTACATTTAAAGGGCAGAAGTATTGACACGAATTGTAAACACAATTTGAAAAACAAATAAACTTTTGATTCATTCATTAGTCTTAAGACTAATCACGCGTTCATTGGTTTCAAGTGATGTGTCATTGAATTGGTGTTTGTGTTTGTGGTGCACGTGTTGGTGGCCTATAATAGTGGCCATGAGTGTGATCCATAGGTCCTTGTTCACTTTACTGTCCGGAGCATTGTTTGTGGTGTTGATTGCACTCAAAGTGGACAACAAGTCTGAATGGTTTGAGTGAATGAATCCATGAATGGTTGCCATCATATGACTCATTGTATGTCTGTCTGTATGTATAGGAACTGGTTTGTGGTGATGGCGCCGATGTATGTGTTGGATGTGGTGATGACGGCAATGGTGGCCATGAAGTGGTTGCGTCCGTCGCAGTCCTACTCCAACCCAATGTCGTGGAGACGAGGACTCAGCAAAAGACTGTATTGTCTGACAATAGTTTTGTGCAAATTGTCGTTTCAAGTCATGTCGTGTCTTAGACTCCAATACATCACACATTTGCCACTATATATCACATTCATTCCTCTTTGGTTAGCTCTCATCTCTTCGCTCACATTCTTTGTCACCAAAAGACGGTTATATAATATGATATGATTTATGCGATTGCCGTCATCGGTGTCTCCAATGGACTGTCAATTAGATAATGGAAATGAAAGTTATTAACCAAACCATATATACATACCATTCATACCATTATGAGCTCAGATTGTGGTCAATAAGAAACAATGTGAAGTATGTATTGATCGCATAATTGATCCAAAGGTATGTCGACATAATTGTCCATTGATTTCGTTAAAAGACTTGTAATTTAAATAAAATTCATTTTTATTAAAACATAAATCAAAGGAAAATCGATACAATCATTTGAAACGGTTTTGTAGTTGTTTTCGTAAAATTAAAGGTAAAACAGTTTTTATATATAAATATAGATTACAAATACTTAGAGTATAGTTATGTATAAATGTATGTACAGTACACTTGATTCCGAAAGCAATCAATAATAATAATAATAACAATGAAATTAATTTTTCTGCTGAATTGACTTAATATTGAAAACTCATTGACTGAATGCTCCAAAAAGTCCAAAACACCGGTATTTTTGGTTATAATTCATTCGAGTCTTAACGGGGAATAAAATCTATGATAAAAAGTGGTTAAAAGAGCGAAATGAAGCGCAAGTACTTCGAAGACTAGACGGCTTTCCACTCCTTTTGGCCGCAAACACGACACCTAAGACTTTGCGATCTTTTTGTTGGCGATTCCGAAGTCGATCTCCGCATAGGATAACTGATTGGAGTCAACGGAACAGTAGAGCAGTTCCTGACTCCCGCAACACGACAGCATCGGCCCCATCGACGTCCCACTTGTCGACACCTGTGGACCGCATTTGACCGACGCTTTCGCGTAGTCGTCCGCTGAGTCGACGGGTGCACCGGTAGATACGGCTGAGAGAGGAGGTGCCAAATCGAGTGACGCATAATTGAGCTCTTTCTCCGAAGAGGTGGACGACCGCCGCGATGTCGACCCCAAAGGGAGGTTCTCTGCGTTTGTGTTCTTATCGACTGGTGATGTGGTTGTCGTTGTCGTTGTCGTCGATTCGTTTTGAGTAATATTCAGATGATTTTCCGTCCATTTCTTTGGGTTCAGAGTGTCTTTGTCTGCGTTTCTGAGGCCTGACGTGCGCTCACTCTCACTGTCAGCGCCGGCTTTGGGCGCCGAAAGTTGTTTTGTGGCCACAGTTTTGGCTGTGATATCGTTAGTCATGTTTTGAGTGTTTTGTGGAATAGTTTTGATTTGATTTTTGTCAACAAAAGAGTTGTTT